AGCCTTAGTAAGACCACACCTAGAGTATTGCATCCAGTTTTGTTCACCACATTATAAAAAAGATGTTGAGACTCTAGAAAAAGTACAGAGAAGAGCAACCAGGATGATTAGGGGACTGGAGGCTAACACATACAACAAACGGTTGCAGGAACTGGGCTTGGCTAGTCTAGTAAAGAGAAGGACCAGGGGAGACATGATAGCAGTCTTCCAATATTTGAGGGGCTGCCACAGGGAAGAAGGAGTCAAGGTATTTTCTAAAGCGCCTGTAGGCCAGACAAGGAATAATGGATGGAAACTGAACAAGGAGAGATTTAACCTGGAAATAAGTAGAAACTTTCTGACAGTGAGAACAATCAACCAATGGAACACCTTGCTCTTGGAAGTTGTGGGAGCACCGTCACTTGAGACTTTCAGGAAGAGATTGGACTGCTATTTGTCAGAAATGGTGCAGAGCCTCCTGCTTGGGCAGGAGGTTGGACTAGATGACCTACAAGGTCCCTTCCAACTCTGATTATCTGTTATCTGAGAAAAGGACCTGTACATTGACTACCGTGCTGACTGCATCAAAAGAAAGTCACACAACCCACAATTCCACATCCAACCCTACCTCATCCAACCCACCATCACTCAAAACTAGGCACGCATACCCCTAATTACCTCTATTCCAACTGCAACTGGCCTTAAATGCAAGCTACTCAGTGCAAGAAGCCTTGTAAATAAAATACCTGAATTTCTCCTCTTACTAAATATGGCTAAATGCAACATCATATTTGTGTGTGAAACATGGCTCAACGCATCTCACCCTGACTCCATTACAACAGTAAGAGACTATCATGTTTACTGATCAGATCGTGAAATCCATAGAGGAGGTGATGTTGCTATCTTCTATAAAAAGTCCCTACATCTAAAAAACATCCAAGTTACCCAGGTCTCTTCCTGAGACCATCGTCTGTGAACTGTCCTTAAATATCATATTTCGATTCTTACTATGTTGCAGGGCCCCTGATTATGACATCGAAAATGTAAACAAGTTAACTTCACTACTAACATGGGCAACATCCTGCCTACATGCTTATATCTTTCTTGGTGACCTCAATCTACCTCATATTAACTGGACCCTAAATGAGTGTAAAAATGAACCCATACATGCAACCTTCGAAAATGCTGTAACAAATCTGGGACTCGAACAACTAGTAACCAACAACACTAGACTTAACAACTGCCTCAATCTCATCTTCTGCAATAGTTTGAATTCAGTTTACGGAATACAAATTAAAGAACCCTTTTCCAACAGTGACCACAGCATGATTGACTTTTGTCTCAACATATGTCCACAGAAAAATCATCATAACGACAGGATCCCCAATTATAACTTCAAAAAAGGCAACTATGATCTTATAGACAACGATCTCTCATCTCTTGATTGGCAACTTCTATTCACTGGATGCAATACTGTTGAAGACCATTACAACATATTTTTACTTGAAGTCAAAAGAGTCATCAAATTATATGTATCAATAACAACCCCCAAAACTAGAAAACACAAATTACCCATAACAATAAGGAAGCTTCAATCCAAAAAGAAATCACATTGGCGGAAAAACAAATCTAGTCTTGTTGCCAACTTCAAAAGCAAATACAAAAATATATGCCACCAGATAAAGACTGAATGCCCCAATTATCACATTAAACAAGAGCAATATTATGCAATATTAGAAGGAAGAGAAGATTTGATAGAAGCTAGAAAGTTACCTTTAAGTTGGTCTGCACAGACTTGTGAATTGTATGCCTTAAATCAAGCTTTGAATTCCTTTGAAGCTCGAGATAGTAATTAGCTGACTTGGAAGCCAGGATAGCAGCGGCAGAAGGAACTGAATGTTTAATGTTCATTGAGAAGAAGGAGTTAGAGAAAATGAGAGCCATAGAACATGGAGAAGGCAAATGGGTATTACCTGATGGAAGGCAAATATGTGATTTGTTTTTGGAAGCATGTGGATGCTGTAGATTGTATACAGTACCTAATCATATATGTGACAAATGTATCATATTTAAAAGAGTTAATAAACAAGTTCTACAACATAAAGGGGGAGGGTGGCATTTACTGTGAGAACATTTCAATGCATTCAAGTTGATTTTATTAACCTAACTCAGTTGGGGATCTATTGGTGATAGTGGATCATGACTGGATGAGTTGCAGCTTATAAAGCCATGAGAACCACTGCATCAATAGTCACCAATATTATACTGGAACAGATAATACCTAAATATAGGATAATAGAACTTGTAAACAGCAACCAAAGGACTAATTTTACTGCAAAAGTGGTTCAATCGATCATGGAGGGAATTCAGTGGGAATGTCATGTTCTGCAGAACACAAATTCATCTATGCCATGGACCAAATGTTTACCCTTGGCCTTGTTCAGAATTCTAACCTGCCCAAAGAGGGATACTGTGCAATTGCCTAGCTGATGGTATAGACTCTATACTATAGAGCATGTATATTAGGTACTGTGAAAGTTAGGTTTTTTTTCTACCGCCCATACAACAATTTGAATGACTGGGTGTACCTGTTTACAAAGGAAGTAGGCAGTGGCAGATTAAGGCTCACTGTAAGCACTGACAAATCTTGGTGCCCCCCTCCTTTGTACATACTCTACAAATGAAGCCATCTTCTCAACTTTATGGTCTCTCTTTGGATCTGGTGCCCTAAGCACATGCTTAGCCTGCTTAATGGTTAATATACCACTGGAAGTAGGCCACAGATCTAAGAGAGAGTTGCAAATAGGAGATTGGAAAGATGATGTATGGCCTCCTGAAAGAATAATCCTGACACATGGATCAGCTATTTGAGTGAGAGATGGAATGTATGGTTATAGAATTCTCATTTATATGCTGAATAGAATTATGAGGTTATAGGCAATGCTTGAAATAATAACTAATGAAATCACTATTGCTTTTAATAGCTAAACAGCATTCTCAATTTAAAACAGTAATATATGAGAATAGATTTGCTTTACACTATTTGTCGGCAAAAGAAGGATGTGTATGTGGAAAATCTAATCTCACACATTGTTTATAAAATTGATGACCTGGACAAAGCTATAGAGGAGATAAATGTGGGGAAATCTGGTCATGCCCCAGTGTAGACTTGGACTTGGGCAATTGACTTCAACTGGTGTGGCAGGATCTTTTTCTGACTGGAAAAGGGTTGAGTTCCTATTATTTTTTAGCCTTTGGAGGCTTTCTAAGTTTACCATCACTGGGATGACAGTCATAACCTCCTCAGTTTCCCAACCACCCTGATAGACCAACTCAAATCATGATCCTTAAAATCATCCCCAAGGAATATGCTCCCCTAGTCCACCCTTGACAGGAAACATCCTGCTGTAAAGAAAAGAGAGGAATAAAGGGACATAGTGACATGAATCAATCTAACCTTTGCTATTTGTTTCTATTAATAATTCTATTAATAATTGCTTGTGCTACTTTGCTATTGTTAGGAATAGGAATTAATTCTGTAACTCTAGCTTATTAAGAATTGTAATATTTACTACTAGTCTAACTTTTGCTATCTCACTTCTCTTGTTTGGTTCAAAGCTAGGCACATCCTTGGAGAATAAATAAGAAAGATAGAGCAGGGAGTTACCAGGAACACCCTGCTCCATAGATAATGGGGCCAGGGCAGGGCCCTGCCCAGGAGCACAAACACACAAGGCTACAAGGAATGTTATGTAAGATAACAAAAGCATGGACAGGGCATGGACAGGGCAAAGAATGCTCCATAGATAAGGGGGACATGGGCAAGACATTGCCCACATTGGGTAACTGTTAAGTTTGGAGAATAATGGAGACCAGACATCTGACCAGTGACTTCAACTCTTTAATAACGGTAGATAGAACAGAACAGAGCAAGGCTATGGGCAGCAGTAACCCTTTTATAGGGTTGGCTGCTACCCTATTAACCAATAATATGTGCAACAAGTTCAACTAATACCCAATAAGAAGTGTCCTAATATTGGCCAATCAGGGACTTGTTATGGACCAATCCTTGTTCGTTGTTTAAGGACCAATCAGGTGTGCAGGCTTCCAAAACCCGCTTTGCATTTGGTCTTAGTTACTTTTTATTGATTCACAACAGTAACAAACTTTTGTCTCTGATTGTGAGTGTAGATGTTGGGATCACACTCTTCTCGGGAGTGGTCTTTTCCTTGCATGCTTGTCTGTATGCTGTGGAAAAAGTCCACCCACCTCTTTGTACAAATAAAAGCTGTTACTTTTCCAAACCTCTTCTTAAGTCTCTCTTAAGTCTATTTAACAGTCTATTTCAGCAGCTTCTTTATCTAGGCTTTTGTGAGTAGTTCTCATTTAAGTGGTAATTGGGACCAGAATTTTCATCATTAAACAATGTGGTTGTAAAAGTATGATGTCATACTATTTCTCTGCATAACAATGGCAGGCCCTGTTACTGTCATTAAATGAGGACAACCTGAGTTAAGTGAGGATGTCATGTTTCTGACTTCCTGCTGCTTCCAATTTGCTTATGGGAAGCCAGCAAGGGAATATTTGGCAACACCATGGATATTAATGATTTTATGGTCTGCTAAAAATAGGAAAAATACATTACTCCCATCATTCAGTCCTAGTTCATGGTTTGTTATACCCAATTGCCTTCATCCGCACAATCGAGTGCCTTTTTGTATAATGCATTGCGCTATATATTTTCCAACCCCAATATTACACCGCCGTGGAGTTGCGCGAGCACAGCCACGCAGTGTGGAATTTAAAACTTCATCTTCAGCACGGAGTGCCAACGCTCCGAGGGGAATTGCCTCTTAAACCGGGCGCCAGAGGGCGTCCATGGCTACGGCGTTTTGTTAAACGGCGTCGTCTTAGAGCAGGACTGTGGCCCCACGCGACCTGGGCTGGAGTTGGCGTGAAGTAGCGCTCCGGATTCAGGAGGAGTCTAAACTCTCGCTAGCTGCGCTTTTCGCTGCTACTCGAGACTTTGGACGACGCGGATTCGGGGGCTTTGGCTTAATCGCTCCCTCTCCCATTTTTTCTTGTTGGTGGCGAAGGAGCTGTTTGAATGCTACAAGCTGCTGCGAAGGCGTTTTGTTCTCTGCTGCTGATCCTGCCTCCTCAAAGCCGAAGCGCGGGCGGCAGGCAGGCGGCCACACAGCTCTCAGTTGCCGCAGGAAAGGGCTTTTCTTAGTCGGCGTGCGAAGGGGCGCACTTTGAAAACTAAAGAATGGCTGGATTTCCCTGGGAAGGCAAGCGGAGTGGATTTAAAGTCCTAGTGGCGACGCTTTCCGTGGCCTTGGTTTATTCCTATAACATCGATCTGGATCATCCCGTGATTTATCAAGGACCCAATAACTCTTTCTTCGGATACTCGGTGCTGGAGCATTACTACGACAATACCCGATGGTGAGTATCAGGTCATTCCCGAGAGAGGGAAATGGGAACACGCCTTTTCCTTATTCAAACATTCTGTGAATTTGCTCAGTTCATATATCTTAACCCTTCCTCCTCCCCCCTTGAAAAAGAAAAATGCCAAGAAGCTTGTTTTAAATATAATCTTCCGATGAGCCAACTCCACTCTTACGAACCAGTTGCTTCCAGGAAAGCCCTGTTACAACTGCTCTGGACATGCGCAGAGGCGAATCGGTGTTGATTCTTTCAGCTACAAACCATCCAACTTTGTGTTATCTGAGTGCATAGTATGAACTTTGTGTGGTTGATTATTTGGATTTTATGCAGTGCCAGCAAGTAAATCATGGGTTAAACACAGCTGTCTAAGAATATTGTGTATGAATCCAGGCTTATGCTGAAACGTTGCCTGCAAATCTAGGACCCTGAGCTATTCTCTCTCTTCCTTTTCATTAACAGACAATTTTTGGGATAGCAACCAGGCAGAAGGTGTGGTAGAAATATGAGAATTGTAAGGAAAGCCAGCAACGTCTGGATTATTTGGGAAATATCAGGAATAAGATGCAGGAATTGTGCAATAAAAACCTGGCCCAAATTCTGTGAATGTAATTTCACAATAAAAAACTACCTTAATAGTCTTGTGGACCATCAAACTCTGATCTCAAAAATGAGAGACTGAGCAGCTCCAATAGATGGTTCTTATGCAGCTTCAGTCTAAAAACTTCCAAGGAAGAACTCACCATTCCTTGGAGACATTATTTCCTTTATCATACTATTGTTTATGAATTTGTCATCCTGTGCTTTAAATCTGTGGGATCAAGTCTTTCCTGTGGGACAGGGAAGAACTATACTTTGGGCAGCTGTTTTATGATTGATTTACAATGGATATATTTAAGGGTTGCTTTTAAATCAGTTCTCTATTTTACTAAGTCACATGAGTTTCTGTCCTATGCCCTGAAGAAGCCATGGTTCAAATTAAATTTTAGTTGTCTTGAATGCTGTTGATTGCATGGAAGAGAGAAAATGGTTAATATAAAAATTCTGCACACGTCTTTCTTCCTCTCATAGGCATGAGAGAATAATGTTGCTTGGCTGCCTTTTAGCATCTGGAAGGGAAATGGATTGTTAGCTTTCTCGAACTACTTTTGCTGCAGTACATAACACAATATTCACATATTGATGATGCAATTTCCTTATGGAATGACCAACTCAGTGGTGGGATTCAATTTTTTTTACTACCAGTTCTGTGGGCTTGGCTTGGTGGGCGTAGCGTGGCTTGGTGGGTGTGGCTTGGGGTGTGTGACAGGGGAAGGATACTGTAAAATCTCCATTCTCTTCCACCCCACTAAACTGCTTTCCAGCTCTGTTCTCCTATGCAGGGCAACAAAAGAAGAGCCAGACGATCAGCTGGGACTCGGGAGGCAGAGAATAGATGGGGGCGGGACTAGTCAGAGGCGGTATTTGCCAGTTTTCAGAACTCAAAATTTCCGCTACCAGTTCTGGTGAACCTGCTGATTACCACCTCTGGACCAATGGTAGTGTTATTTATTTGAATGTGTATGTGTGTACTAAGAGGAGGATGTTGGGGATAGTGTAATGTATAACAATCTAGTAATAAGGAACCATTTTATATTCTGTATTCTTTTATTTGTTTGTTTGTTTGTTTGTGTGTGTGTTGTTGAGTAGATAGCCATGTTTTAGTTGAGCAGAAGTGTTATATGAATCTTGCCCTATGGTTTATTCATAATTTGGTATGTTGTTCCAGTCCAGAAAGTAGGTTAAATGAGTTGATCATGGATACATATCAGTCAGACACATCATTTTGTGAGAAGTCTTAGCAAGTGTGGATTGAGTGAAGAAATGGGTGAGTCTCCTTATCTGTGAGTTTTTAGAAAATACATAGGAAATTGTTTTGATGGATGGTTAGCAGCTAGGAATAAACATGCTAGTAGCTTAATCTGTTTGAATCTTGCAAATATCTGGGGTTAAGAGCTAGTATAGCTCTAAACTCTGAAAATAGCATTTGGCAACCCAGTGTAATGTAAGAATTGAAGAACTACTTTCCTGAATCAGCCCATTAAGCCTAGTGTCAGTTTCCAAAACAAATCAACTACACCAAGAATGTCAGAGTGTTTGCAGTGTGACTACTATTGTGAGACAACCCAGGAGCAAAACACAGAACACAGAGGCTATGCTTTTTAACAGTGGTTTATATACAAGACAGCTATATACATACATATACATGGTAGGCAAACACCTGGCAATCAATCAATCTTCTTTATTCTGCACGAACTATGATGGAGATAGAACATGAGAGAGAGAGATACACCCTCTCATATATAGATAGATACATATAGATAAATATAGATATAGTTAGAGATAGGTAGGTAGGTAGGTAGATAGATAGCTTCTTAAAGTGGTAAAACCCCATGGGACCAATCCTCAATCTTAAAGTGGGAATAACTAGGCTGATTTATCCTCATTGCATCAGCCTTACAGCAGCCTTACAACAGCTGATCAGCTATTAAATCTCAATACCTTAACAAAGAACCTAATAAATGAGTTTTATTCCTTGATATTAGCTTGCAGAGTAATCTGGAGAATGTTTGCTAGTGTTATTTGAAAGACTACAGTTGTTGCAGATTTTTAATTAAAAGTAAAATGCTTTCAGAAGTGTAGGAGCTTTATCCTGATTGAAGCACAGTCCAAGTTGCAATTTGCTTATGTAGTGCATGTTGAATAAGCTGTAAATTGCTTGTTTGTGCAGCTAAATCAAGAACAAACCTGCATTCAACCAGAATTTAGTGTTACAAAATTGCTTTTCTTTCAGCTCAAGTTATCAACTTTAAATAGCAGTGATGTAGTGAGAAAGTTCATTTTTCACTAGCTCATATGAGGTTCTTTTTGGCTGTTCAAGTTATTGGACAAAATCTGGATAATTTGAAACAAATGTTTACATATAATTAATGAGATCAATAGGGAATTTAACCAGTGGTGGGATTCAGCCAGGATGGCCTGGTTTGGGCAAACCGGTAGTAAAAATTCTGGCTGGTCCCCCCCCCCACCCCCACTACTTATTGGACTTGCACACCTTGGCTGGTGCCTTAGACTTATTCTGTGGCATAGCTGTAGCTGCTCTTTGGCTCCCTTGCTTCGACCACATGGCCCAGCCTACTTGCCTGCCTTTGCTGGGGCCTACAGTGCGACAGCTTCTTGCTCATCTGACCTGGCCTGCTCTTGACTGCTCCAGCAGCAGAACAGCCAGTTAAGCAGAGGCGGGTTCCTCTCTCGGAGAAGCAGGGCTGAGAAAGATGGTCGGCTGCGGCCTTGCCCTGCAGCCTGCCCCTTGCGCATCACATTTAAACTTAGCGTGCTTCACAAATGAGGAAGTGCCGGCATCCTCTCCTCATTTGTGAAGCACAGCGCTAAATTTAAAAGTACTGGGCAGCACGAGACAGACTACTCCCAGCAAGAGCAATTGAGGCGGGGGGGAGAGATGAGTGACTTTTCTCCCGAGACACTGACCAATGCCATGGAGGATAGAGAGACACAGAGAGAGAGTGGGGGAGAGAGAGAGACACATGAGAAACAGAGAGGGAGAAAGAAAGAGAAAGCTATACTATACTACCATTAGTATTCCAGAAGCAACATGCTCCCTTCCAGTTTCTACAGCCCTGCTAGCAGGAGCAGCAGCACACAGATATGCCACTGCCTCTCCCTCTCCCTCTCAGCTGCTGGGGGAAGCCAAGTGAAGAAGGGAATGGCAACTTTAGCAAATGAATAAAAACTGGTTATACTGCTCCTCCTTGGCTAACGCCCAACGAGGGAGAAGTTGCTCTGCCACAACTCTGCCACGAACGGGTGTTGAGGGGCATGAAATCAGTTTTTATTCCTTTGCTAAAGCTACCATTCCCTTCTTCACATGGCTTCACCCAGCAGCCAAGAAGGAGAGAGACAAGTGGCTGAAACACCCCATACATTTTCTCTGCACTGGCTGCTTTTTGTGATTCTTTTTGTGGTGCCCTTTCATGTTGGCTCAGGAAGGAGGGGAACGGGGAGGAGCAACTGCCGTTGCCGAATGCAGGGAGGGAAAGAGCTCTAGCTCTCCTGTGCAGCGAGTGGTTACTCACCTGAGCATGCAGTGGTGGCAGTGAGAGGAGGAGTCGCTGTCCCCACTGCTGCCGTGATCCCGGCCCAGGAGGGTATCCGCTTGTGCGTGTGCGCATATGTGTGCGTGTGAAAGAGAGGAAAGGGGAAAGAAAGAAATGGAAAAACAATGGAGGGAGAGAATGAAAGAAAGAAAAGATAGAAACAGTGAGAGAGAGAGAGAAGGGGAGAGAGGGAGAGTGAAATGAGAGAGCTGGTGGGAGAGAAAGAGAGGGAGAGGGAGAAAGATGAAAGAGAGATGAGAAACGGAGAAAGAAAGAAAGATGTTTGTATGTGAGACAGTGAGACATGAGAGAGAAAGAGATGAGAAACAGAGGGAGAAAGAAAGAGAGAGGAGAGAGAAAGAGGGAGAGGAGAGATAGAGGAGAGAGTGGGGGAGAAAGAGACACACAGAGAGAGAGAGAGAGAGAGATACCCGTTTAAAAGAAAATAGAAAAATGGCTCTTTGAGTGTTTAAGATTGCAGATCCAGACCCCTGGTTAGGCAAACACTATGGTTGTTAAGTGAACCTTGTGGTCATTAAGCAAACACTGTGGTTGTTAACAGCACATCACACACCTCCACCAGTATTTATAGAGAGACGGCAGCTCTGATCATGCTTTGCTCGAACAAGCACGAAGCCGAAAGCACCAGCCTGAAGGCCCAACCAATGAGAACACCCCCCCACCCAATCAGAACACAGCCAAGCCCCCACCCAATCAAGTCACACCCCCACTAGCAGTTAAAAGGAAGAAGCAGCTGCAAGCTCACATTACTCCGAGAAGCACAGAGCTGAATACACAAGCCTGAAGATGATGAATGAGACTTCATCGAAACGTTGCCTAGATACT